AAAAATTTGGGCCTACTAAACCTTTTTTCTGCGGGCCCGGGGCCCTGCTTCATCCTTGGTGGGGGTAACCAGACTTGGGGTCATTGGGCTAATCGGGGGGGGGGGGCATTGGGCCTAATCCGGGGGGAATGGACCTCTCGCATGGTCAGTGGGGTGTTGCAGTGTTCCTTCTTACTTTGTTTTATAAAGTTTAAAGGAACAGGGAAAGAGTGGACCTAGAATGATCAGCGATGAGAGGGGGGCCAGGAGCTATGAATCTAACCCTGAAACCAAAAATAGGCGAGTGCACTCACACACACACCACACACACACACACACACACACAAAAACACACACACACACACACACTACAAACCTCACTCAAGGGAAAAGATCTTGGGTGAGTATAACACCAGGCACATCTCCTGAAGCGCAAAACAACCAAATAACTGCTGCAGCATATGGGCGCCCAGCAAACCTCAGAACAGCATCCGACATCTTAATAAGGAATCGTTCAGGACCCTGTACCCCGGTACGTTAGGCCCATATTGGAGTATGCGGCACCAGTTTGGAACCCACACCTAGCCAAGCACGTAAAAGAAACTAGAGAAGTGCAAAGGTTTGCAACAAGACTGGTTCCAGAGCTAAGAGGTATGTCCAAACGAGGAGAGGTTAAGGAAATCAACCTGACAACACTGGACGACGGGAGAGTTAGGGGGACATGATAACGACATACAAAATACTGAGAGGAATTAACAAGGGGACAAAGACAGGATGTTCCAGAGAGGGGACACAGCAACAAGGGGACACAGTTGGAATTGAAGACACAGATGAATCACAGGGATGTTAGGAAGTATTTCTCAGCCACAGAGCAGTCAGGAAGTGGAATAGTTTGGAAAGGGATGTAGTGGAGGCAGGATCCATACATAGCTTTAAGCAAGGGATGATAAAGCTCATGGTTCAGGGAGAGTGACCTAGTATCGACCAGTGAAGAGGCGGGGCCAGGAGCTTGGAATCGACCCCTGCAACCTCAACTAGGTGAGTACACACACACATACACACACACACACACACACACCACACACACACACACACACACTGCACATACACACACACACACACACACACACACACACACACAACATACACATACACATACACACACAACCACACACCACACACACCACACACACACACACATACACACACACTCACACACACACACACACACACACCACACACACATACACACACACACAGCACACACACATCACATACAACAACACACACACACAACCCACAACCCACACACACACACACACACACACATACACCCTCACACACACACACAGCCACACACACACACACACACACACACAACACACACACACACACAACACACACACACACACACACACACACACACCACACACACACAACACAATACACACACACACACAACTCACACAACCACACACCACTCTCCACACACACACACACACACACACACACACACACACATCCACACACACACACACACACACACACACACACAGACACACACACACACTCACACACACACCACACAACACAACACACACACACACATACACACTCACACACACCCCACACACACACACACACACACACAGCACACACACACACACCACACACACACACACACACACACACACACACACACACACACACACACTCACACACACAACACACACACACACACACTCACACACACACACATAACCACACTCACACACAACACCACGCACACGACACACCACACACACACACACACACACACAACACACAAACACAACACACACAACACACGACACACACATACACACAACACATACACACACACACACACACACACACACACACACACAACACACACACACACACCCACACACACACACACACACACACACACACACACACACACACACACACACACATACACACACACATTCCCACACACACACACACACCACACACACACACACACACACACACACACACACACAAGAGGTCCTCTCCTCAAACTCAACAGTAAATTTACAACATTAGTATTCCTCAGGTTCCGTGGCAACACTTACACTCTGAATTATTCTGACCACCGATTTGTTTGTTGTTGCAATACACTGTCTCTAAGCGCATCCTTGCTGACCCTTTAAAAGAATTGACAAGTTAGTTCTAACTTGTTGCTTGCCATTCTTATCATCAGCGTGAAGACTACAAGTTATGTTGTGCGTGTACGGTGTCAGAATGAGTGATTAAGGGTGTCTGAAGTGAGTAATTAGGGGTCCAGGAGTGAAATAATTATGGTGTCAGAAGTGAATAGAATCTGCCTAATTAAAAGTTATTTATTGTGCATTTGCAATGCTATTGTGTTTATTATACACGTCTTATATGCCTCTGTGGCGCCCCTTCCATTCGTTCCCAATGCTTTAAACCGACGTTTTGCAGAAGGATACAGGAGCGGAAGAGGAGAAGCGAGGAGGAAGAGGAGGAAAGGAAGAGAAGGCCCCACCAGAATCACTTGGGGGCGGTCCAACGTCAACACTGCTTACTTTATGAATCATTCTGATACCAACGTCACGGCTATTGTGGTCTGAAGGCCACCCTTCCCTGTCAGTCCTCAACCTCGCACCAAGGATGTGAGTAGTGAGTGAGAGAGTGAGTGAGTGAGTGAGAGTGAGTGAGTGAGTGAGAGTGAGAGGAGAGAGAGAGAGAGAGAGTGAGAGAGAGAGAAGAGAGAAAGAGAGAGAGAGAGAGAGAGAGAGGAGAGAGAGAGAGAGAGAGAGAGAGAGAGAGAGAGAGAGAGAGAGAGAGAAGCTTACAGCACTACGACGTATCTTGCATCTGCTTGACAGTAGGTGTTGCAAGATTCTGTATTAGCACAGGTACGCTCACAAACCTTGAGTAAAGCATGCCTCCACTTTCTTGTTTGCCTGACCCCCGTCCCTCTCATCTGCGACTTGCTACAGAGTATAGCAACAGAGTAAAGTCGTCTCATCTCTCGCCTGGACCCCATCCTGGATAGAATCTTCAGTCATTTCAGCATAGCCATCAACACAGGAGGTATGTGGAGTGACCTTGACTGTTATTACAAGGCCAATATTGTCAAAGTACCACACTTGATCACTTCGAGGACAGCGGTGAAAGCAAGCTTCTATACCCCAAGACGGGCAGAAGCAGCAACTTCTCTCTGCTGGCACTTCTCCAAACACTCCCCTCCATCTGAGGATTCAGTTTATCCTACAGGATGAGCTCCGAGAGATAAAGTACAGTTGATCAATTAAAATGTTGACCCACAGATTGGCTCCAACTTCATCCTGTTCCCTACTTCTATGTTTCATAACAAAAAAATGCTTGTAAATGACGCTGTAGGTAACAGCTCTTAGCTTGTCAACAAAGTTTAGAGAATCCTTAACTTGACAATAGCTTCTCAATAAAGTTAGGGATCCTTAACCTAAAATTGTCAAACCCTGTGTAAAAGAGAGAGAAGAGAGAGAGGAGAGAGAGAGAGAGAGAGAGAGAGAGAGAGAGAGAGGAGAGAGAGAGAGAAGAGAGAGAGAGAGAGAGAGAGAGAGAGAGAGAGAGAGAGAGAGAGAGAAGAGAGAGCGAGACAATCTACCTAGATAAACAGTAAGTCCTAGCAGGGACAATATCATCAGCCTGGGCTCCTTGTTTTAAGAGATTAATGGTATATTAAAGCTACTTATGCGGGTGGTGGAAGTTAGTAACATCATTCTGTTTCGGCGAGCAGCTAGTGTCGTGGATCCACAGAAGAGATCTTCACATCCTGACATAGGAGTCTCCCACCTACACACCAAGTGTGAACGTTTTTAAAGGTTCAGTTGTTTTCTTGAAGCATATACTACACGTCTTAATCCCTTCTCAGATAACAGTGATAGTTGCTTCTAAGGGCTTGATTTTTAACACGTCTAAGGTCGGTTTTTGGAGCTGGCATGATTCCATCTTAAAGAAAGTAGATCCTTCTTAACGCGCTTAGATTCTTAGAGCTCGGGTTCCTTAAAAATGTACATTTTTTTTTTACCGTTCCCATGCCTGTGATCCTGGCGTCCCCCAAGTCCTGGGGTCAAGATTCTCAGACTTTTCTTTTTTGGTCATCTTCTTCCTTTCATGCAGCATCCTTGGTGTGAGATAAACCCCTCCTGAGGTGCCAGCATCCTTAATGGGAGATAAACCCCTTCCTGAGGTGCAGCATCCTTATGTGGGAGATAAACCCCTTCCTGAGGTGCAGCATCCTTGTGTGGGAGATAAACCCCTTCCTTAGGTCAGCATCCATATGTGGGAGATGAACCCCTTCCTGGAGGTGCAGCATCCTACGTGGGAGATTAACCCCTTCCCTGAGGTGCAGCTATCCTTACGTGGTAGATGAACCCCTTTCCTGGGGAGATGCAGCATCCTTATGTGGGAGTTGAACCCCTTCCGGAGGTTGTATCATTCTTTGTGTGCGGTAAAACCCCTTCCTGAGTGCAGCATCCTGGTGGAGATAAACCCCTTCCTGAGGTGCAGCATCCTTGTGTGGGAGATAAACCCCTTCCTGAGGTGCAGCATCCTTGTGTGGGAGATAAACCCCTTCCTGAGGTGCAGCATCCTTGTGTGGGAGATAAACCCCTTCCTGAGGTGCAGCATCCTTGTGTGGGAGATAAATCCCTTCCTGGGGTGCAGCATCCTTGTGCGGGAGATAAACCTCTTCCTGAGGTGCAGCATCCTTGTGTGGGAGATAAACCTCTTCCTGAGGTGCAGCATCCTTGTGTGGGGATATACATCTTCCTGAGAGTGCAGCATCCTTGTGTGGGGATAACCTCTTCCTGAGTGCAGCATCCATGTGTGGGAGATAGCTCCAAATAAGATCACTACCACAACCATTCACCTTTTACCATCACCACCTTTCCACCACCCACCCTCTATGCACCACCACCGACCACACCACTGCCCTCACCACCCACCACCACCATCCTCCTCCACAGTTCGACACCCGGAAGAGAGCAGACACTGGTTCCTGGAGATCAGTTCAGTGACCTTTAGGGATGCTGGAGTGTATGAGTGCCAGGTCTCCACCAGTCCTAAGATCTCTCTACCTGTCCTCCTAGCTGTGGAAGGTAAGTCCAGTGACCTCCCTGCCTGTCTTCCTAGCTGTGGAAGGTAAGGTCAGGGAACTCCCCTGCCTGTCCTCCTAGCTGTGGAAGGTAAAGTCCAGTACCTCCCTGCCGTTCAATCCTGACGTGGAAGGTAAGTCCAGTGAGCCTCCCTGCTGTCATTACCTAGCTGTGAAGGTAAGGTCAGGAACTCTCCCCTGCCTGTCCTCCTAGCTGTGGAAGGTAAGTCCAGTGACCTCCCTGCCTGTCCTCCTAGCTGTGGAAGGTAAGTCCAGTGACCTCCCTGCCTGTCTTCCTAGCTGTGGAAGGTAAGGTCAGGGAACTCCCCTGCCTGTCCTCCTAGCTGTGGAAGGTAAGGTCAGGAAATCCCCTGCCCTGTCCCTCCTAGCTGTGGAAGGTAAGTCCCGTGACCTCCCTGCATGTCTTCCTAGCTGTGGAAGGTAAGTCAGGGAACTCCCCTGCCTGTCCTCCTAGCTGTGGAAGGTAAGGTCAGTGATCTCCAGCAAGATCTTGTATTAAATGAAATTCAAATTTTACAAAAATAACATTTAATAACATTGAATTCACACACCCCTGACCTTGTATCACCCCCTGAAGCCTGTATCACACCCCTACCTTGTATCACACACCCCGACCTTGTATCACACCCCTGACCTTGTATCACAACACCCCTGGACATGTAACAACACCCCTGACCTTGTATCAACACCCCCTGGCCTTGTAACAAAACCCCTGACCTTGTTCAACACCCTGACCTTGTATCACACCCTGACCTTGAACACACCCCTGACCTTTGTGATCACAATCACCAAAACCCCTGACCTTGTATCACAACACGCCCTGGACCTTGTATCACCCCCTGACCCTTGTATCAAGACAACCTCTGACCTTGTATCACACCCCTGACCTTGTAACACACCCAGGGCCTTGTAACCAACCCCAGACCTTGTATCACACCCAACACCCTTGGCCTTGTAACACACCCCTGACTTGTTATCACACCCTGACCTTGTATCACACACCCCTGGCCTTGTATCACCACCTGACTTGTATCACACACCCCTGACCTTGTATCACAACCCCCTGACCTTGTATCACACATCTGACCTGTATCACATCCCTGACCTTGTATCACACCCCTGCCTTGTAACACACCCCTGACCCTTGTATCACACCCCCTGGGGGGGGCCCCCTGGTAACCACACCCCTGACCTTGTAATCACACCCCGTGACCTTGTATCACACCCCTGGCCTTGTAACACACCCCTGAACCTTAGCACCCCCTGGCCTTGTAACACACCCCTGACCTTGTATCACACAAACACCCCTGACTTTGTATCACAATCACCACCCCTTGCCTTGTATCACACCCCTGAACCTTGTATCACACACACCCCTGGCCTTGTAACACACCCCTGACCTTGTATCACACCCCTGACCTGTATCACACCCCGGACCTTGTATCACAACACCCTGACCTTGTATCACACCCCTGGCCTTGTAACACACACCCTGACCTTGTACTCACACCCCTGACCTTAGTGCGATGACACCCCTGGCCATGTAACACAACCCCTGCCTTGTATCACTCCCCTGACCTGTATTAGCACACCCATGACCTTGTATCACACCCCTGACCTTGTAACACCACCCCCTGACCTTGTATTCACACCCCTGACCTTGTAGCACACCCCTGACCTTGTATCACACCACCCTGACCTTGTATCACAACCCTGTCCTTGTATCACACCCCATGACCTTGTATAACAACCCCTGACCTTGTATCACACCCCTGACCCTTGTATCACAACCCCTGACCTTGTATCACAACCCCTGACCTTGTATCAACACCCCTGAGACCTTGTATCACACCCCTGAACCTTGTATCACACCCCTGACTTGTATCACTCCCCTGACCTTGTACACACCCCACCCCCCCCTTGACCTTGTATCACATAACACATGACCTTGTAACACACCCTGACCTTGTATCACACACACCCCGACCTGTATCACACACCCCTGACCCTTGTATCACACCCCCTGACCTTGTAACACACCCCTGACCTTGTATCACACCCCTGATCCTAGTATCACAACCCCTACCTTGTAACAACACCTCCTTACCTTGTATCACAACCCCTGACCTTGTACACTCCCCTGACCATTGTTTTCACATAACCCCTGACCTTGTAACACACCCCTGACCTTGTTCACATCCCTGACCTTGTATCAACACCCCTGAACCTTGTATCAACACCCCTGACCTTGTAAACACACCCCTGACCTTGTATCACACCCCCTGACCTTGTATCATCTCCCCTACATTGTCAACACCCCTGACCTTGTAATCCACCCTACCTTGTATCACACCCCGGACCTTGTATCACACCCCTGACCTTGTATCACACCCTGAACCTTGTATCATCACACGCCCTGCCCTTTGTATCAACACTTCCTGACCTTTTAATACACCCATACCCCTTGTATCACACATCCTGACCTTGAATCACACCCATACCTTGTAATCACACACTCCTGACCTGTATCACACCCCATGACCTTGTGTTCATACCCCTGACTCTTGTTATCACACACATGACCTTGTATCACACACCCCTGACCTTGTATCATACCCCTGACCTTGTCTCACACACACCCCTGACCTGTATCACAGCCCCTGACCTTTTATCACACTCCGACCTTGTATCACACCCATACCATGTATCACACTCCTGACCTTTATCACACCCATGACCTTGTATCCACACCCCTGACCTGTAATCAACCTACACCCCTACCTTGTATCACAACCCCTGACCTGTATCAACACCCCTGACCTTGATCACACTCCTGACCTTGAATCAACCTTCCCATGACCTTGTATCTCACTCCTGACCTTGTATCACACCCATGACCTTGATCACTACACCTTACCTTGTTATCACTCACCCTGAATTGACCTTGTATCCAACCCCACCTTGTATCACACCCCTGACCTTGTATCACACCCTGACCTTGTATCACCCCCATGACCTTGTACATACCCCTGACCATGTATCACACCCCTGACCTTGTATCACAACACACTCCATGACCTTGTAACATACCCCTTACCTAGTATCACACCCCTGACCTTGTATCACACACCAGACCTTTGTATCACACCCATGTCCTTGTATCATACGCCTGACCCTTGTATCACAACCCCTGACCTTTATCACACCCCTGACATTGTATCACAACACACCCCCTGACCTTGTATCACACCCCTGACCTTGTAATCTAAACCCTGACCTTGTTTCACACCCTGACCTTGTATCACACACCCTGACATTGTAATCACCCCCTGACCTTTGTATCACAACCCCCTGACCTTGTATAACACCCATGACCTGTATCATAACCCTGACCTTGTATCAAACCCTGACCTTGTATCACACCTCCCTGACCTTGTATCAACACACCCCTCACCTTGTACACACCCCTGACCTTGTATCACCCGATGACCTTGTATCCTCCCCTGACCTTGTATCACACCCCTGACCTTGTATCACACCCTGACCTTGTAATCACACACGCCCTGACCTTGTATCACGAACCCATGACCTTGTATCAATACCCCTGACCTTGTATCACACCCTGACCTTGTATCACCCCCCTGACCTTGTATCACAATCCCCCTGACCTTGTATCACACACCCCTGACCTTGTATCACACCCATGACCTTGTATCCTTACCACCCCTGACCTTGTTATCACACCCCTACCTTTGTATCACACCCCCTGACCTGTATCACAACCCCTGACCTTGTATCACACCCCTGACCTTTGTATCACACCCATGACCTTGTATCATACCCCCTGACTTGTATCACACCCCTGACCTTGTATCAACACCCCTGACCTTGCATCACACCCCCTGACCTTGTTTCATACCCCTGACTTGTATCATACCCCTGAACCTTGTATCTCACACCCCGGACCTTGTATCACACCCCCTGACCTTGTATCACACACCCCTGACCTTTGTAATCATCACCCCTGACCTTGTTTCACACCCAAGACCGTTGCATCATACCCCTGACCTGTATCACACCCACTGACCTAATTGTATCACACCCCTACCTGGTATCACACCCCTGAAAACCTGTATCACAAACCCATGACCTTGTATCATACCCCTACCTTGTATCTACAACCCCTGACCTTTTATCACACCTCAGACCTTGTATCACAAACCCCTGACATTGTATCCACCCCCTGACCTTGATCACACCCCTGACCTGGTATCACACCATGATCTTGTATCACAACCCCTGACCTTGTAACACACCCCTGACCTTTTGTATCACACTCCTGACCTTGTATCACCACACATCCCCTGGCCTTGGTATCACACCCCGGAACTGTAATCATAACCCCTGACCTTGTTAAACACACCCCTGACCTTGGTATCAAACCCATGACCTTGTATCACACCCCTGACCTTGTATCACACCCCTGACCTTGTAACACACAACCCCTGACCTTGTATCACAAAACCCAGTGACCTTGTATCATACCCCTGACCTTGTCTCACCCCCTGACCTGTATTCAACCAAAAAACCACCCCATGACCTTGTAATCAACACCCCTGACCTTGTAACAACATTCACCCCGGACCTTGTATCACACTCCTGACCTTGTACACACCCCTGGCCTTGTATCACACCCCTGAACTTGTATCATAAGACCCCTGACCTTGTCACACATACCCCTGACGACCTTGTATCAAACCCCATGACTTTGTATCACACCCCTGACCCTTGTATCACACCCCTGACCATTGTTTTTAAAAAAAAAAAACACACCCCTGACCTTGTATCACACCCATGACCTTGTTATCAATACCCCTGACCTTGTATCACACCCCTGACCTTGATCACTCCATGACTTGTATCACACCCCTGACCTTGTATCCCACCCCTGACCTTGTATCACACCCCTGACCTTGTATCACA